TGACGTTATTTGTGTACCTACAGTAGTGAGTATACTGGAATTTGAACTCAAGGTTTCACGCTTGAATGTGCTCTACCACTTGAATCACACTTATAGCCATAGTGTACCCCTTTTTTGCGGGGGGGCATCTGGTCATGGGGCCTGAACTCTGGGCCTGGGCTAACGCTCTACCACTTAAGCCACAGCGCCACTTCTGGCTTTTTTCTTTTTGCTTATGTGGTGCTGAGGAATTGAAGCCAGGGCCTCATGCATGCAAGGCAAACGCTCTACCACTGAGCCCACCCTCCCAGCTCCTCAAATGGATTTTTTTTGAGGGGGGGGGGTCCGGTCGTGGGGCCTGAACTCTCTGGGCCTGGGCGCTGTCCCTCAGCTCTTCAGCTCAAGGCTAGTGCTCTGCCACTTGAGCCACAGCGCCACTTCCGGCTTTTTTCTTTTTATTTATGTGATACTGAGGAATTGAACCCAGGGCCTCATGCATGCAAGGCAAAGCACTCTACCACTGAGTCATCTTCCCAGGCCCCCCCCCCTTTTTTTTTTTAAAGCTTTGGTCCCAGGGCTTGAACTCAGGACTGAGCACTGTCCCTAAGCTTTTTTGACTATGGCTAGCACTCTACCACTTGGAAGCTGGAAGTGCCATTTGCCGATCCCGTGGCTTGAGCTCAGGGCCTGGTTGCTGTCCCAGAACTTTTGTGCTCAAGGGTAGCGCTCTGCCACTTGAGCCATAGCTCTGCTTCTGGCTTTTAGGTGGTTAATTGGAGATATGAGTATCACGGACTTTCCTGCCTGAGCTGGCTTCAAACTTCAATCCTCACATCTCAGTCTCCTTAGTAGCTAGGATTAGAGGCATTAGCCACTGGCTCCCAGCTTGTTTCCAGCTTTTTGGTGGTTAATTGGAGGTATAAGTCTCATGGACTTTGATGGTGTCTTTGGCTTTGAACTTCAGTCCTTAGAGCTCAGCCACGTGAGTAGCTAAGATTATTGCATAGCCACTGATGCCTGGCTATACTTTTTTTTTTTTTTCTGGGGCTGGAACTCTGGGCCTGGACGCTCTCTGATCCTCTTTTTGCTCAAAGCTAATAGTGTTCCAACACTTAAGCCATAGCTCCACTTTTGGCTTTCTCTGTGATTAAATGGAAACAGAGTCTTGGGGACTTCCCTTCTCAGGCAGCTTCAAACCACCATCCTCAGATCTCAGCCTCCTGAGTAGCCGGGATGACAGGCGTGAGCCATAGGGGCCTGGCTAAGAAATGTGACTTTTTCTTTTTTTCTTTCTTTCTCTTTCCCTCCCTCCCTCCCTCTCTCTCCTTCCTTCCTTCCGCTCTCTCTCTCTCTTTCTTTATTTCGTGCGTGTCCTTAAACTCTGGGCTTGAGCTGAGCTCCTTTTGCTCAAGGCTAGCATTCCACCATTTGAGCCACAGTGCCATTCCTGGCTTTTTCTGTAATATTGGAGTCTCATGGACTTGGCTGCCTGAGCTGGCTTCCAACACAGTTGTCACATCTCAGCTTCCTGAGTAGCTAGGATTACAGGAGTGAGACACAAGCACCCGGAAAAATGTAACTTTTAATTTTTTTTTTTATTTTTTGCCAGTCCTGGGGCTTGAACTCTGGTCCTAGGCGCTGTCCCTGAGCTCCTTTTGTTCAAGGCTAGCACCCTACCACTTGCCACAGCACCACTTCCAGCCTTTTCTGTACTGAGGAATCGAACCCAGGGCTTCATGCATGCTAGGCAAGCATTCTATGACTGAGCCACCTTCCCAGGCCAAAATCTAACTTTCATAAGTCGGTCTTTCCCTAACCCTAACCCTAACCCTAACGTTTGATCATGGAATCCTTATTTCATGATAATGCCTGTTTAAATCTAAGACACACTTTACAAGTCATACTTGTTTTTACTAAAAAAATCTAGAAAGTTTGATTCACATATTTATAGTAAAGTACAGTACATAGATTAATATTTTAAGACCAAATCTTGTCTACTGTTGATTAAATAAGGTCACAGACTCTGAAGTTGCTTTATGATCTTAATCTGAGTAATAACTTCTAAATGCTCCAAAGGTCCCTGCTACAATAGTGTATCTCTAATACAACAGAAAGACTGTAGAAAAAGAGTTTAGAATTTACTAGCCTTGTGATGCTGTGGGAATGAATGCTTTTTCCAGAGTACTATTTTTAGAAGGAAAATTACCAGTTTGTTTCTTGAGCTGGCATTACCTTTTTTGTTTCTGATTAATCAAAGAAAAAACGATTACTAGTTGGGAATCAGCTCTAAAGAGGAAGTAGTTTTGGCCTAGGGTAAAATTTGAATTCCAGTATACTCACATAAATTGATAGTTTTATTGTTGTAAAGTGTGTTCACGCAAGTCCTGGGGCTTGACCTCAGAGCTTGTGGCACTGTTCCTGACTTTTTTTTTTTTTTGGTTATCAGTAATTAGGCTTGAACTCAGGGTCTGGGTGCTGTCCCTGAGCTTTTTTGCCCAAGGCTGGCTTTCTACTACATTGAGCCAGAGATGTCATTTTCTGGTGAATAATTGGAGACAAGAGTCTCACACCCTACCCACGCTGGCTTTGAACTGTGATCCTCAGATCTCAGCCTCCTGAGTAGCTAGGATTGCAGGTGTGATTTACCAGCCCCTGGCTACCCTGACCTTTTTTTGAGTCACAGTTCCACTTCTGGCTTTTTTAGTGATTAATTGGAGATGGGAGTCTTATTGACTTTCTTGCCTCAGATCTCAGCCTCCTGTGAAGCTAGGTTTACAGGTGTGAGGCACCAATGCCCTGCTTGGTCCTAGTGGGGAAAGGTCCTAGTGTCTGAATTCAGTATCTGAGCTTTTGAGATCAATGCTCTACTTCTAGCTGTTTTGATTGTTATTTGGAGACAGGAGTCTTGTGAACTTTTCTTCTGGCTGGCTTTGAACCACAAACCTCAAATTTTAGCCTTCTACTTAGCTAGCCACCAGTGCCTAGCTAGGGATTAACTTTGTGGGAACAAAGACAGTTTAGCTTTTTCTTTTTCCTTTTTTTCTGTTAACCTGTATGTATTAAAATTGAAGAGATTTGGGCATTTCCATCATACTTCAAAGTTTCCACATATTTCTTTGTAGTTCATCCTGTCTTTATTTGAAGACTCAAGCAACCACTGACTTGTCATAAAATTCTAAAATTGCTTTTAAACACCCCACCCCTCCTTTTCCCCAGGGCTTCTTTGTGTATGCTAGCATTCTACCTTTGTGCTATATCACAGACATAGAAAAAGGCTTTCATAAGTCAAATCTTTTCAACTCCTTAGCTTGTATGGAACGTTAATTGTTACTAGGCATGTACTGTGAAGCCTGAAACTTGTATTTGATATGTTTTATGATTTGGAGAAGTTGTTTAAATTATTTAAATGCATTCTCTAGGTGAGACAAGGAGAGTAATAAATCCTATTTATTGGGGATTAAATTATATACATGTAGATAAAATATCAGTATATAATATAAAAGTTATACCCAGTAAAGGATGGAGTATATGTGAACTTCTTTCTGGTTTTTGTTTTGTTTTGTTTTGTTTTGTTTTGGCGAGTCCTATGGCTTGAACTCAGGCCTGGGCACTGTCCCTGAGCTGCTTTTTGCTCAAGGCTAGCACTCTACGACAGCGCCACTTCCAGCTTTTTCTGTGTATGCAGTGCTGAGGAATCTAACCCAGGGCCTCATGGATGCTAGGCAAATGCTCCACCACTGAGCCACATTCCCAGCCCTCTTACTTCATTTTTATAGGGGAATAAATAGAGTTAGATTAAGAGAGTTTTGGGCCAGGCACCAGTGGCTCACACCTGTCATGTAATTACTCAGGAGGCTGAGATCAGAGGATCATGGTTGGAAGCCAGCCAAGCAAGAAAATGTGAGACTTTTAACTCCAGTAAAATACTCAAAAAAGCTGGAAACGGTGTTGTGGTTCAAGTGGTAATAGTACTAGCCTTGAACACAAAAGCTCAGGAACAGCCCTCAGGCTCTTGAGTTCAAGCTCCAAGACCAGCACACACACAAAAAAATGTTTTGGTATATTCGAAGCTGCTGTAAAAACACTTTGAAACACTGGGTCCCAAGATATTCTGGTTTATCAGTGAGGTGAGGTGTTCTGACTAATAGAATATTAATATTTTTTTGGTTTACTCTTCCCATATCTAAAAATTGGTTTATTTTTATCTAACATCAATATTTGAAAATAAATCAACTTTTAATAAAGAGGATGTTGAAATAAGTTGCTGAACAATACCTGTATGTAGGTATAGTTGAAAAAGGAGATTAACTTGCTGTGGTATAGATTACATGTAACTCACTCAAAAAGTTTAATTACATTGATATGATTGTTTATTGTCATTTATTGTGTTTTCTTTTAAATTTCAGAAAAGAATTGTGTGTGTGCACATCTTTTCATGCATGTGTTTTTTAAAGTTTTGATTTGTTGGTTTAGTTAAGTTTCTTTTTGCTTTCCTCCTATACACCCACAGCAGAAGCTTTTTGTCTGTATGTTACATTTAAATAATTTAATTGTTTTATAAATAAAACAAGGCTTTTTTGCAGTTCTAATTTGGAGTCATAATTTAAATAATTTTATTTTAACTCTTACATGGACTAATTGTGAAAGCACTGCTGGATTCTTTATGTAAAGGTTGTAGTTAAAAACATGGTTTTGTGGTTTAAGCTTGTAATTCTTTCAAATGTGCTAACTTAATGGACTGTATACATAATTTTTCAAAAAAAAAAAGGGAATAAAGATTTGATAGGATTTCTGGTCAAATGATATTCTACCTGCATGATAAAGAAAGACTACTCAGAAAAGATTTGTTCCACATTTCCAAATGTGTTTTCTAAAACCAGGGAGAATTTTTTTTTTAAAACAAAAATTCAGAAGTGTGTTTTTAGATTCAAAACTATGAAAATAATTTGGTATTAGGTGATTTTCAGTTGATAGCTTTATTTCTTATGGTATTTTTTTTGTCTTTCTATAGGGCTGAAAGACACAGAAGTCTTCATGGATATAGTTGATACATTTAATCATTTAATTCCTACTGAACACTTAGATGATGCCCTATTTCTAGGATCCAACCTGGAGAATGAAGTCTGTGAGGATTTTAGTACAAGTCAAAATGTCTTAGAGGACTCGCTGAAGAACATGCTCAGCGATAAGGATCCTATGCTAGGATCTGCAAGTAACCAGTTCTGTTTGCCTGTTTTGGATAGCAATGATCCCAATTTCCAGATGCCTTGTTCAACAGGTAATACTTACTTTTTTTTTTTTTTTTTTTTTTTAGTCTTGCAATTTAAACTAAAAATTTTCAACAGCATTTTTTAAAAAAAAATGAGGATAGTTAATTTAGGGTTCTTTCCTTTGAATTTAGAGCTTTCTGGGCATCAGAAATAGAATTTAAACTAAATTCTCCTACAAGGAGTGTAGAGTAGTTTTCAAGGACATTAAGAATATATGTAGAATTGACCATATTGTCAAGCAAAATGAGCTAACATTGGAATTACAGAGGACGATAATTATAGTTATGTCATTATGACAGGTGCAAATTGAGATTTTCACTAGTAAAGAGTGATTGCTTGCCTAATTGGGGCAAGTCACCCTAGACCTGTGGAGTCAAGGGGGAAGGAATCTTTGCTAATGTCCCTTAAGCCCTTCAAATTTAATATAGTCTTTGATCCAATAATAGATCCTTTGTATTTTGTGTTTTTCTAGAGAAAGAACTCTAGATCTGTGCTGTCCTGTAATTTCTAGCCACATAAAACTATTAGTCTCTTAAAATGAGTATAGTCTTCACTGAAATGCTATGTGCTATAAAGTGCACATACGTAAGAATTTTTTACTTGAAAAACAAATTATAAAATGTTTGTATAATTTTTTATGTTGCTCATGTATTAATGTGACATTTTACTTTTTTGTCAAAGTATTAAAAATCAGTTGTACTCTGTGTGTGTGTGTGTGTGTGTGTGTGTATGTATGTGTGTGTGTGTGTGTCTGCATGTGTCCATCCTGGGCCTCAAACTCATGGCCTGGGCACAGTCCCTGAGTTTTTTTGCTGAAGGCTAGAGCTCTGCTCCTTCAGCCACAGCTCCACTTCTGGACTTTTATTGGTTAGTTGGAAATAAGAGTCTCTTGCCTGGGCTGGCTTCCAACCATGATCCTCAGATCTCAGCCTTCTGAGTAGCAAGTTTACCAGCATGAGCCAACAGTGCCCTTCTATACTCATTTGTTTTTTACATGGTTTGTTTTTGTTTGGTTTTTATTTGTAGCCTGCAGCTTACTGTGTTGTACAGGCTAGCCTCAGACTCTTGAGTTCAAACCACCTGAAAAGCTGGGATCTTTGTGCAAGGCTTATTTTGCATTTTGTACATGTCTGTGGGCACATGTGCATGCCTGTTCTGGTCCTGGGACTTGCACTCAGGGCCTGGGTGCTGTCCCTGAGTTTTTTCACTCAGTGCTAGCGCTCTACCACTTTGGAGCCACTGCTCCACCTGTGGCTTTTTGATGGTTAATTGGAGATAAGAGTTTGACAACTTTCCTACCCAGGCTGGCTTTGAACTGCAGTCCTCAGATCTCAGCCTCCTGTGTAGCTAGGATTGTAGGCATAAGCCACCAGCACCCATATTTTTTGTTTTTTTAATTTTCCTTTTTTTTTGTAGTGTTTGGGATTGAACCCAGTGCCTTGCACATACATGTCAGGCAAGCTCTCTACTACCCTATTTATTCACCAGGCCTTTATGTTTTTGTGTTTTAAAGAAAACATTACACATGAAAATTTAGAATAGCATATGTGGCTTGTGTTATATTTGTGTTGGGCAGCACTGCTCTAGGATCTGTAATTTATATAGCTGAAAGAGTAAAGATAGTAATTTTTTAAGGCAAATTCTTAATTGTTTTGGGATTGGGTTGGGTCTCCTCTGCTGGTAGCCCCTGCCTCCTCCCTCTCCCCAGCCCCTGGCAGGCCAAGGCAGAGGACCTTTTAGGGTAGCCTGGGTTTGCCTCCATGGACTATTTTTTGAAACAGAGAGAGAGAAGAAATTACTTTGGATTTATGTTAAAATATAGCAAATGTAAACAGAAACAGCCAATATATTTTCTTTTATTAAGCAAAGAAAATAGTAGTCAGTTTTTAGGAAAACAACTCTTCTGTAAACTAAAGGTAAAACAGCTGGTGGAAGCACCTGGCTTTCACAAGTCTAAGTTAGCCTCATGGTTTTATGTGATGATGGTTTGTTTCTCTAAGACTAAACCTCTCCTGAAGTGTAGTTTTTCAGTACATTTTTCATCTTTAAATTGAATAGGAATCTTTCATTTTAACAACTTCTTAAGACTGAGATGTTTTGAATTGCTTGCTAATGATGGTGTATCTTAGAATTATTAAATTGTATTGTGTCATCGCATAGGTTTATGTTCTTGTTGTAGTTTATACTAAATGTTTTAAAGCTTTGCAAATTTTGTTTAATGTTTTCACTGTTCAAGTTTCTACTTTTGTGCTTATGTCAGTACAGTAGTTACAGTTATCTTTATTGTTACGTACTTCTGACAGTTTGTATACTGTTTTGTAGTTTAGTCCAAGTTCAGAAAAACAACTGTTCATTACTTGTGTTCTTGTTGCTGGAATTATAGATACCTTTGAGAGTATAATGAATCTGGAACTAGCACATGTACTAGCCTGTTAGACTTTCTGGCTCTATAGTAATACAAGTATTCCTATTTGCAGTCCTGATACTTGTAACAGGATTTTTATAATTGATTTCTGTTGATATGACAGTTTTTATTGATGTGAAAAGTCTTCAGTTTTTGGCCACCATTTTTTATTAGAAGATTTAAAACATTTAAGTATTTAATTTTTTATGATTTGATTAATTAGTACTCCTGTTACTTTGAAATGTTCCTAATCTGTATTTCTCAGGACAGCCTAAGCTACAGGTTGTGGATATTTTGTAACTTTTATTTTCATCCTGCTTTAAATTAAGTAAATAAGTTAACTGTCATCTTGTTTTCTGTTTTGCTGAACCAGACTGTTTTCTGTGTTGTTAAAGATTAAATAGTATTAATAGTTGTTGTCATAGTTGAGTGACTTCCATTATACATCAGTTGTCTCCAGAAATCATATGGTAATTTGAAAAATTATACAAGTAAGAGAGGGAGCTTACTTTTAGCCCTGCCATACACATCAAGCCAAGGTGTTAGTGGGTTTTGAAAGGCAGTTTCTTAAATGCTTTTGATTTTGATGTATTACCATGTCTGATGATAGTGTTTACATATGGCTTTAAATGTACTGCCCAGCAGTACTTTTTTTTTCATAAAACTTTTGGGTAAGGAAACACATGACGTATCAGGGAAGTAGTTCATCTCCATAAATCAATTATTGCTATTCTTTAAAAAAAAAACAAATTTCGATTTTATTCTTAAGTTAAAAGTAGTGTTTTCCAAGTAATAAGTTTAAAATGCTGAATATTGTTACGTATATCATTGGAGGAAATAATTGAGATGGACTTGGTATTACCAGTTCCATGAAGAAATGTTTGTTTTGTCCTTTTTTTTTTTTCTTTCTGTGCTGGTTCTGGTGTAGCCTGGTGCCAGGTCTCTGAGCTTGTTTGCTCAACACACTTTACCAGTCCATCCACAGTTCCACATCTGGCTCTTTTTATTGTTAGCTAGTCAGAGGTAAGAGTCCTGCGGACTTTACTGCCCACACTGGCTTTGAACCATCATTCTCAGATCTCCACCTTTTTAGTAGCTAGGATTACAGATATGCCTGGCCTCAACCTTTCTTGTATAAATAAATTTATTCCTCTTTGGTTAAAGCTGTGATTCTTTACTGGTGGAACAATAATCTCATTTTAATGATTTATGGTACATTTGTTTAATCTTAATGGCTTTTTTTCCCTTTTATTAATTGTTTTTATTGTTAATGTTGTGCCAAGGATTTGAACCCAGGGCCTCTTGCATGCTAGGCAAGTACTCTACTACATTCCCAGGCTTATGTTACATTTAAAAAAGATGTGGGTTTTTTTTTTTTGTTTTTTGGGTTGGTTGTGGGGTTTGAACTCTGGGCCTGTGCACTGTCCCTCAGCTCTTCAGCTCAGGGTGAGCACTCTACCACTTGAGCCACAGCGCCTCTTCCGGTTTTCTGGTGGTTCATTGGAGATAAAAGAGTCTCACAGATTTTCCTGCCCAGGCTGGCATTGTTCCATGATCCTTAGATCTCAGCCTTCTGAGTAGCTAGGATGACAGGCGTGAGCCACTGGTTCCCAGCTGGAAAAGATGTTTTGATGGCTATAATTTCAGTTACATAGTTCAAGGATCTCAGTTCAAGGCTAGCTGGGCAGAAATGTTCTTGAGAATCCTTTCCAGAAATAACATGCAAAAAGTCAGGCTGGTTGCATGAGTTCAAACCCCAGTATAGACTAAAAGAAAAGAAAAAGTATGGATGGGTGGAGCCTACCATTTCCTGTCTCTAGTATCTGTTATTGACAGGGGATGGCCTTTCATACATACTCTAGCTCCAAGATCTTCTCCTCAACTTTTGGTGTTGAAATGTCAGTAATGTATCTAGCTTTAGTCTTATTTTCTTCTGGGTACTTGATAACTGAACCTTTGCAGTTCCAAGGAATTTTCTTGTATTAAATTTGTATACTCTTAGTATAGGTTGGCCCATGTTTCTTACTTATTTCTTACAAATTTTCTATTGCTTTTCTTTTTAGAGATTTGCTTTTAGTGATTGACTGCCAAATTTTCCCTGTGTATTTAACTGTAAAATTCATTTACTGTTTCTAAGGACTCTTATGTTCTTTATTTATGCTGTTTTAGTAGTCATGGAAACGAGGCACTTTATCTGTTTATTTTGTTGACCCCATCACCCTGGTTGAGCTCTGGGCCAGGTGCTGCCCTGAGCTCCTTTTGCTCAAGTATAGCACTCCACCATTGGAGCCATAGCACCACAGTCTCACAGACTTCCCACCTGGGCTAGCCTGCACCCTCCATCTCAGCCTCCTGAGTGCAGCTGCCACTCAGCTTATTGTGTCCTTTTTCATAGTATTTTCCTTAAATGTGTTCTTTCAGTTCTCTATTAATGCCTAAAGTGGTTGGAAATTTGAAATTCTGTCTGTCGTTTTTGTTTTTGTTTTTTTTTTGTCGGTCATGGGGCTTGAACTCTGGGCCTGGGCGCTGTCCCTCAGCTCTTCAGCTCAAGGCGAGCGCTCTACCACTTGAGCTACAGCGCCACTTCTGGTTTTCTGGTGGTTT